GTTTAAATTAATTGCAATTTGACCCAGAGTTAAAATCTGTAATTATAAAATGGATTGAAGAACCCTCAGCCCAAGAAAGAGGAGTGAAATTTAATTCAGGTATTAAGGGGCGAAATAGTCATTTCCCTGAGTTTATGACGAAAAAATGGAGAAAAAGTCGCACCACACGCGCGTGAAATGCACATCCGTCAAGTTAGACGGTTTAGGGGATAACGCGCAATCAAAAGTATAATACAAGGGGGTATGGCGCATTTTTTAAAATACAGGGGAATAAAGCGCAGATTTCGTATAATACAGGGGAGTTTGGCGCAATTTACCCGTATTTGTAATATCCGAAGCATTTTTGTAATATCTGAAGCATTTCAAGTTCTCAATTTATTTTTTGCCCCTCAATTTGGTGAAAATATCCAATTGAGATGTTTCAAAACAATAAATATAAATAATGAATTCAATATTTCTTACGCTTACACCAATTTTTGACCCTTGCCAAAGGTCGGACGCAGACTCGTAAAACTGAGGATAGTAACCTTTACAAAGTGAAAAAAAAATGATATTTATTTTTGCATGTTCTTATATATTATATTACTCATGATTACATAAATTCAAATTTCACTAAATAAATCTTTTACAAATATCAATAGTTTGTGCATTGGATATTTTTACAACGTTGGCATTCGTGGACTTCTTTATAATAAAGAAAAATATTTTATTTGTTAAAACATTAATGACAAATATAATTTAGTAGCTAATTCTTATAATTATAATTTTGCGAGCACCTCAAATTCAATATGTAAATGTTGACTTTTGTAGAAAATCGATGTAACTTATTTATATTCGTTGCCTACAACATAATACAAATATAAAATGAATACAACTTAAATATTAAGAAAACTCTGTAATTCTTTTACAAATAAATTATATATGTACTATTTAAAAAAAAAAAAAAAAAGCATAGGGGACCTTGGCCCCTGCCTAAGTACGCCACTGACCTTGACTTGGTTAGAACCTTGTTATCCGGCCAAACTCGGTCAACTTGACCATTTTTTTTCTAGAAAATATTATGTTTATATCTCATATACTAAATATTTATGACGAGATACAATTAAATTAAAAATATTAATGTATAAAATTTAAATATAAATATAATCTATAATTTTTTATAATTAATTACTCAATTCGGTAAATCAAATGGTGGACTCGGTGACCTTGGTTTTAAAACATTGTTCTAAAGTCATGGACTATGTTTGGTAGCAAAATAAACTAGTTTATAAGCTTTCTGTATTTAAATAAGTCCTCTTTGGCAGGACGGATTTTTTTTTAAAAAAAAAAAAAAACTCGAACTTATTTCAAAAGCTACTTTAAGTAGCGTTTCAAATAAGCTAATTGTGTTTTTTTTGGGTTAATTGCTAAATAAACCTTAACCTTTTTTGCGTTTGGTAATTTTATCCCAATCTTTGGGTAATTGCAATATAATCTCGACCTCAATTTACTTATTCCAAATTTGGGTGCAGAGTGATTGATTTTAGGGATTTGTGGATCGATTTTGTGTCTAAGTCTTCCATTGACACGGGTTTTTATGCCATCCACGTAGCAAGTTGACAATTTTCCATGTATTTAATGTATATCCACGCACAAAGCCAAAAATTCCACGTCAATGTAAGCTACCGGTGATGAGTCTCCTCCTAGATTTGGAGTGAATCGGTGAATATGAGCTCCGATCTGTTCTAACCGCCTTCAAATCGACCAATTTTTTTAAGTTCCAACCGGTTTTAGGTTCGACTTGTAATAAGTAAATTGAGGTCAAGATTATATTACAATTACCCAAAGATTGGGATAAAATTGTCAAACGCAAAAACTTTAAGGTTTATTTAGCAATTAACCCTTTTTTTTAATTCCAATTAGCTTATCAGCTAACTTTACCTAATACTTTTATCATATAAGCTAGCTTTTCAGCTATAAGTCATAAACTATAAGCTATAAGCTTGAAAATTATAAGTTATGTTTGGTAGACAAATAAACTAGCTTATAGCTTATTTGGTTAACTATAAGCTTTCTGTATTTAAATAAGATTCGTTTGGTAGGACGAACTTATTTCATAAGCTTCTTTGGGTAGTTTTTTCAAATAAGCTGGTTGAAATTTTTATTTCAGCTAATTTTATCAAACATTTTTATCATATAAGCTAACTTTTCAGCTCTACATATAAGCTACTACTATAAGTTAACTTATCAGTATCATCTAGTTTTGGAAAGCATAATCACTTATAAAATATCCAATCATTTATATATTTTTTTTCTCATAATTTTTCAATCATCTTTTTTTTTTTTTTTGGTACAAATTTTTCAATCATCTTTAATCATTATAATTTCATCTCATCTCCATTTATATTTTCAATTTTTTCAATTCTTATGTAGGGTGAATTTTCACGCTCACTAAAGTTTGCGTCCCCCGAAACTGGAAAAAGCCATATGCGTCCGACAATTCCCAACCACTATATATATAAAGAAAAGAAGTTAGGCAAATCTTCTGATTTTAAATGTCATCCACTTTCTCTAACTTTTTATTTTTTATCAAGAACTAAAGATTCAATTTTTATCCAGAAATCTACTGACCTAATCGAATGGATCAGTTATCTAAACATTTTTTACTCAATTAATCTGACCCAACCCCGTTTTTCTGTTTGTTGCATGATTTTATTATTATTATTTTTTTTTTAATGTTAATTTGATCTTTGAAAGTGGTTCCGACAAAGTGTTTTGGTGATATCTCAAATGATATGAATAAATCTCAATTTTGTCATTGTTCAACGGACATAATCAGCCATTGTTCAACGGACATAATCAGCCCAGACTCTTATCATGTAAGAAGAAATGTTTCTGTTTCGTGTTATTCCTTGTAAAAATTCGAGTTTGTTTCCTTAAAAATGGTGAAAATGGGTGTTTTTTTTTGTAGGAACATAGGGCCTGTTTCTTGATCTGGGGCCTCAATTTCTGCGGCTTACAATGTCTATTCAACAAGGAAATGCAGAGGCTAAAGATATTGAAGGTACTTTTTTTTTTTTTTTTTTT